TATTTTTTATCTTTAAATTTTAATAAGAATTTTTATGACACTTTCAATACAATTATTTCTTATAGGTTTCAAAGAATAGAAGTATTACTTCAGAGTAACATACAAAACACTAATAGGCAGAGATATAAGGATATCAAACATATTTTCTCATTATATTTCCTTCTTTTTTATGTTTGTTACTCTTTGGAACGCCTATAATCTTCTGGCGCTCATATGACCTTATGCAGTTGCGAGCGCCGTAAAACCTCTACCAAAACTAAAAAAGAGATACGGATGATATGCATTTACATGAAAAAAGGAGTAAAACACATCCGAGCACCTTCCATCAACTCAGGGGGTGAATGAGTATTTGAACCTGACAATTTTCAAGATATTTTGTTAGAATGTTCGAGTAAGAGGGTGGAAATCGTCACAATAATGGTCATTTAGAGTTGAAAAAAAAGTAAGGCAGACAGACACAACATAAGAAAAGCAGTGATGTTGGACCTCCCAGTACAGCCCTACAACCAACCGCTTTTTTTCCAAGATGACTAGGTTGAAAAAGGAAAGGAAGTATGAGATAGAAACTTTAGTTTTAGTTTTAGTAAGTGTTTTACGGCACTTGCAACACAATAAGGCCACATAAGTGCCGAAGATTAAAGGTGTTACAAAGAGTAACAAACACACAAAAAAGGCGGGGAGATAAAGACGATAGACATTTGACAGGAAAGAAGAAACAAACCAACCACACCAGAGCACCCGCCAACAACCCTCGTACGATCGAGATAGAAAAGACAGACGAGGAGGAACAAAAACTTGTTGCCTTCCTCACGAAATGGCGCGCTTCTCCTCTCCCTGGCGCCCTCTAGGGCTTCTCCAATGACCCGACCATACCGGTGTGGCTGACGCCAGATCGTGATGTGTCGGTCAATGTTTCGTTTAAGTCTCGGCTCGACGTGTCGTTAGTTTTCAATTATAGAACTTCACTTTTTTAGTTTTAGTAAGTGTCTTAGTCTTTGTAAGTGTTTTACGGCAATTGCAACACAATAAGGTCATATAAGTGCCGAAGATTAGAGGTGTCACAGGAGAGTAACAAACACAAAAAGAGGGAGGAGAGATAAGGACGATAAATGTTTGACAGGAAAGAGGAAGAAGACCACACTAGAGCACCCACCAACCACCCACTTATAGTTTTGCTTTTTTCCCCAAGTTTTAGTGAGAGTTTTATGACACTTGCAACACGATTAGGTCATAAGAGTGCCAAAGATTAGAGGTGTTACTAAAGAGTAACGTTACTAAAGAGTAACATACAATGAATAAAAGGGGAGAGATAAACACAATACAATGCTTGATTATTTTACATTTTTACATGTAGACGTTTTTCCGCCACTATCTGCGGGCGGTTGGAGGGTGTTCTGGTATGGTTTGCTCTTTTTTTTACCTATCAAACATCTATCATCCTTATCTCTCCTCCTTCTTTTTTGTGTTTGTTATTCTCTTGTGACCATTTCTAATCTTCGGCACTTATATGACCTTGTTGTGTTGCAAGTGCCATAAAACTCTCTAAAACTAAACTAAAAAACGCCCCTATCTACACAGTATATATCATTTAGGAGGCGGGCTTCCGTCTCTTACTGTCATGGTAAACCCGGGCTGAGATGGATACAACATTCCTGTAGAAATATCCAGATACTAGATTAAGAATTCTCCCCACTAGGGAATCGAACTGGGGTCTCCTGTATGCCACAGAAAAGTTCCAAAGCGCTACACCACAGACGCCGTTTAAAAAAAGTTTTTTTTAAAGAGTTTTACGGCACCTGTTACACACATTTGTAGTATAAATACCGTAAATTAGAGTTAGTACTAGACAGTTGCATAAAGAGATTTTGTTTGTTTGAGTAAGGAGAAGCACATCGACACAATTATAGTTGTTTTGTGCTAGGAAAAAGATTGACAGATAGACAGAAACAAGAAAGGGGAAGAAAAGAAGGAGTACCTACCAATGGCGTTCTCTAACCACCCTCTCATACAGAGAATAGGAGGAGGACAGGTAAGGACAATTTACGAAGTCATGTTTTGTTAGAGTAAGGGTATTATGGTACTTGCAACACACAAAAGTCATATATCAAAGCGCCGAAGACTAGAGGTGTACGTACAGAGATGCACACAGAGAAAAGAAGGAGGAAAGGTAAAGACGAAACAAAGTCATGTTTGACGAGAAAAAAAAAGCAGGAGTAAACCACATCAGAGCCCCCGCCAACCACCCGCTCACACGGACATTCTGTGAGTGCCCACAACCTGCAGACAAAGATGACGGAGAGATGGGAAGTCTGTGAAGACTGCGCGGCTCAGTTGCCATCTGCCACCTTTTTTGGAGGTAGTTGTTTGCCAGACGGACAATCGGACGCTCATTCCGAGACCCTTCATTGGCCTCATCCACTCACTCACTCACTCACTCTCCCCCTCCCCTCCCTTACACTCACAGTCTTTTATCTCCAACCCC